TGTAGTTCCAGCTACTCATGAGGCTGAGACAGGAGAACTGCTTAAACCCAGGACCTGGCAGAGGTTGCAGTGAGCTGAGATCGTGCCATTGCACTCCAGCTTTGGGTGACAGAGCAAGATCCAGTCTCAAAAAAAAAAACAACAAAAAAAAGTAATAGTTTTAGCATATCATTTTATAAATGATGTTTGTTCTTGGAGTTTCTAGTTAATAATTTTTAGCATATTTAAGTCATTTTCATTCAATTCTATTTTCTTTGAAATTTCACTCAGAATGACTCCAGAATTTTACTCAATGTTACTTACCATATGTTGATGGAATGCTGTTTTCTTTTTTTTTGAGATGGAGTTTTGCTCTCATTGCCCAGTCTGGAGTGCACTGGCGTGATCTCGGCTTACTGAAACCTCCTCCTCCCAAGTTCAAGTGATTCTTCTGCCTCAGCCTCCCAAGTAGCTGGGATTACAGGTGCCTGCCACCACGTCCAGCTAATTTTTTGTATTTTTAGTAGAGACAGGGTTTCACCATGTTGGCCAGGGTGGTTTCAAACTCCTGACCTCAGGTGATCCATCCACCTCAGTCTCCCAAAGTACTGGGATTATAGGCGTAAACCACCATACCCAGGCTATTTTCTTTTAATTTGTCGAGCTAATGAATTGCAATGGTATGGAGGTATCCTTGCATTCCTGAAATAAACCATACTTGGCCATGGCATATTATTTTTTGATACACTGCTTGATTCTATTTGCACTGACTTATTTATAATTTGTTCTTCAACATTAAACACAGAGATCTGGGTCTACAGATTCTTGGAGCTCTATCGTTTTGGTGTGTTAAGCTTTGCTATGGTTTGGGTGTTTGTCCTCCCAAACCTCATGTTGAGATTTGATCCCCCAAGTTGGAGATGGGTGCGTAGTGGGAGGTGTTTGAGTTCTGGGGTGGATCCATACGTGGTGCCCTCTTCATGGTAATGAGGGAGTTCTAGCTCTATGAATTCCCCCAAAAGCTGGTTGTTTAAACAAGCCTGGCATCTACCCACCCAGTCTCTTTCTTGCCTCTTCTCTTGCTGTGTGATTTCTGCACACCAGCTCCCCTTCATCTTCCACCATAAGTGGAACTGAGGCCCCACCAGTAGATACTAGTGACATGCTTCCTGTGCAGCCTGCAGAACTGTGAGCCAAATAAACCTCCTTTATTTATATTACCCAGTCTCAGGTATTCCCTAATAGCAACACAGACTTAGACAACTTATAGACAGAGGCCTCATAACATGAATTGAGGTTTTTAATCTTTTTCTGTGGCTTGGAGTATTGTAATTAACTTTCAAATTATCTGATCTCTAAAGGTTGGTGAGAGCTCAGCTGTGAGGCCATCTGGAGCTTTCTTAATGGTAGCTTTTTAATCACCTCTCTAATCTCTTTTTTTGGCAATTAGTTAATTCACGTTTTCTATTTTGGCTCAGCTTTATTATTTTGCTAGGAACCTGTCTGTTCCATCCACGTTTTCTTGGCTTTTCCTGGCCTGCATGGCACAGTCTGTACTGAGAGGAAGAAGGCCATTTCCACCGGTGTCCTTGGCCATCAGTGGGTCAGGATATCTCTTGTTGGCCTGGGAAGCAGGCAGGAGTGGAAAGAGAACCAGCTTCGCCTCTAAGGCTTCAGAAGCCTTCTTGCAAAGAGAATGCCACCCCTCCCTTGGGGGTCCAAGATGTGAACAAACGTTCACACCATCCTGCAGTCTGCAACCCCAGTGGGTGAGAAGACCCCAGCCGTGTTTCTCCGTGGAGTGGCCCACCCATAGCATTCTGCCTAAAAAAGCAGGGTCCTGGAGTTCGAGAGCTTCTCAGTATACAGGGCGCGGGACACACCTCTTATCTCTTGGGAAGTACCGGGAGCCCAGCCTCTCAGGTGTCAGGAGATGTAGGGGGTGGGGACTGGCGAGGGGAGGTGAGGGGCGCTGTGGGGCGGGGCGGTGTGGGAACGGAAAGTCGGGGCGCTAAGGAGGATGGGGGGTGTGTTGTAGGGCAGGGCGGTGTGTTGTAGGGCAGGGCAGTGTGTGAGATCGCCGCCAGGCCTTGGGGCGGGCGCTGCGGGGCGGGGTGGTGTGGAGGGCTTAGGGGGCTGGGGGTACGAGGGGAGGCCGTGTGGGGTGCTGGTGGGCTGGGGGCGGGAGGGCGGGACGGCATGGGGCCCGTGGCGGGCTGCGTGGGCTGCATCACTGCCCAGGTTAACCTCGCGTCACCAGCTGGCATGAGATCTGGGTAGGAAAGCGGGCTTCTCACAGAAATAAAATCCACCGAGGTTCTCTCCCTTCCCCGCACCCCCGGTCACAGCGCCCTCCTCCGCGCTGGAATCCGCGGGGACCCGCAGCGTCTGGGGCCGCTGTCGTCCAGGAAGGGGAGCGCTGCGCCCACAGAGCGGACAGAACGCCTTCTCCGCGAACCGCGTCCTTTCCCGCGCAGGATGACTGACATTCTGGGAGCAAACTGGCCGCACCTCACGGCCGCGGGACGCCAGCGGTGCGAACGGTCGGGAGCGCGGCGTTTCCCGAGGGTCTCGGACGCCCCCACCCGGCGGCCGCTCCCCCGCCCTGTCACCTCCTCGTTTTCCCACGGAGGCGCGAACTTTCCACTCTCGCCGGTCCTCGACAGCACCCAGTCTCCACCCCTGAGGATCCCAGGGCGTACTCAGGGCCAGAAAAGGAGGCGGATACGACCGCGGTGCCGGGTCCTCCCTTCTCCTGAGGGAGCCGGACGGGGAGCCGGGAGCCACCGAGGCCTCGCTCTTCCCGCGTCCTAGAGCGGCCGGGTGAGCCTCACTTCCGGCCTGTGTCCTGCTGACCTGAGCTGTCCTCGTCCCACCAGTCGGGCGGTGAGTTGGACTGACTGGTGGCCTCTGGCCCCGGGCTTTTCCCCGCGGGCACCGGAGCTGGCCGACCAGGGGTGGGGACCCGCGAGCGACCCGGAAGGGGCAGGGTTGCGGAGCTGCCCCCGTGGGGGCGGGGTCACCGCGCTCCTGCGCGGGGCCATCGGGGGCGGAGTCCATCCGGGGTGCGGGGGCGTGGTCACGGAGCAAGGCCTATAAAAGCTGCAGGGTCGCGGGTCGGTGCCTATGAAGGGCGCGAGATGTGGTCAGAGGGCGGTATTTACAAAGCGTGAAGGAGGTGAGGTCGCGGGCGGAGTCTATAAAGGGCAAGGGACGTGGTCACTGGGTTGGGACCTTGAAGGGTGAGGGGTGTGTTCCTGGGGTGGGTGTGTTTGTGAAGGATGAGGAGCGTTTTTCTGGCGTGAGAGACTGTGCAGGGTGAGGGGCATTTTCCCGGCTTGAGGGTCTGTGAAGGGTGAGAGCCGTCTCGGGGGTCTGTGAGGGGTGAGCAGCGCGTTCCCGAAATGAGGGTCCGTGAAGGGT